GAGGCTGAGGCAAGAGAATCGCTTGAAACCGTAAGGCGGAGGATCGCGCCACTGCACTCCAGCCTGGACGAAAGAGAAACACTCCGTCTCAAGAAAAAAAAAAATAGGTTTTGGTGATGTTTCTATATTGCTCACTAAGCGATACTCTACCTTTTAATGTTCTTATAATACGCAGAAACACATTTTATTAGGTCTATTGGAAACAGTACTTAATAGCTCTCGAATGAACATTTATATTGTTACCCCACACTGCCTTTTGCTGACCAGTTTTGTCACCAAGTCAAAAGCAGCAGCGTACACGCCGCCTGTACTTAGATTTACGATCCTACTCAGGGAGATCTGTTGCGCTCACGGATTCGCCTTTAAGTACCGCCGCCTGGATGCGAGGCCTTCTTTGTTCTCAGCCCTCCCCGCCATTTTGAAAACAGTAACGTGGCGTCTTCCCCGAGTTTCCTACAACTTCCGTAATCCTTGAGATCCTTACGAACACTTCAAGCTTAAACTAAAAAGGAAAGCCCCACGAGAATTATAAACCGTGCCAATACAGCTTACTCACTGCTATCTAACGCCCTAAGGTGTCCAAGAAAACTAAACGTTAAACATACCAACTACCCCCAAATAGGAAATAGTAACTTTTAAAGCTTTTTGTGCCCAAATCCTAAATATGCGCGATTAACCACGAGAAATTAAACGTTACCTGCAAATGCACACTAGTGCACAATGACTGCTTTTCCAGCAAAAACCTGCAACAGGATAACAAGATGTCCGCTCTTTTACGAAGAAATTGGGCGGCCCTAAAAAGGGCCTTTGGTTGTAAAGAGAAATACTGAGTGGAGTAAGCGGGAGCCTTAACCACCGAAGCCGTAAAGAGTGCGTCCCTGTCGCTTCAGCGCATAGACCACATCCATTGCTGTTACAGTCTTGCGTTTAGCATGCTCCGTGTAAGTGACTGCATCACGAATCACGTTCTCCAGGAACACCTTCAGAACACCACGGGTCTCCTCATAGATAAGGCCAGAAATACGCTTGACACCGCCGCGGCGAGCAAGGCGCCGGATGGCTGGCTTAGTGATGCCCTGAATGTTGTCCCGCAAAACCTTGCGGTGACGCTTAGCGCCTCCCTTACCTAAGCCTTTCCCACCCTTACCACGTCCAGACATGACTAACCAGCTCCCAAAGCCGCTTTCAGGAACCTAAAAAGCGGGGAAAGCAACAGACGCCCTTATATGCAGGGAATTCGGACCTAATTGAAGACTGAAAGCGCGCATACGGGAACTTTGGTCCTGCTTTTTGGTCTCACCCTATGCAGCCCCGCCCTGGATGACGTCACCAACAACTTCATCCTTTGACGTCTGAGCGCGGGTGCCGTGGAGGCGTCTCTCGCAATTGCTGGGAAATAGGATAGGAGTTTTACGGCTGTTTTAACAGCTAAATCAGATTAAAGAAATCAACATGTTTAAATTATTATCAATTGTTTCTTGAGTTGCTTTAGGACAATTGGAGACGAGCTTCGGTCCACAGGACCGAAAGCCTGAGGAGTCCAGCTTTGTCCCCAAGGTCACAGTGACTGGCATTTCTGCTGCCTGCTGTAAAGCACATACGGACCGAAACCTCCTTCGGAAGTGTTTGACAATTGCAAGATTTCACCCTCTCTATCATCAAGCCAAGGGAAACGTAACCAAAACGGTTTTCTTCCCGATGGCGAAGACATGGTAGGTTAGTGATTCGTGGTAGAATTATCCCCCTCCGCGCGGAGGCTTCATTCTATTCCCAGTTTGTTCTCTTCTTTCCCTACTTATTAAAATTTGTAATTGCCATTTCAATATCTAAGTGCCCCTCACAACTGCACCCAGTGTGTGGGTTTCGGGGTGGGTTTTGGGGGGTTTTTTTTTTTTCCTTTTTTTATTTTATTGAGACAGGGTCTTGCTATGTTGCCTGCGGTCGTCTCCCGAAGTGCAGTGACTGCAGGCGTGAGCTACTACAGAGTGACTCTCGCACCTAGCCCACTAGTGTATTGATGTTTACTTTTCTATCCCTAGTTTTGTTTTCTGTTTCATTCTGGTAGACGCCTTTTTCCAAAGTGAGTTGGCAACCTGTGGTAGCCAAAGTATGAAATAGGCAACTTATCGTAGGCTCGCTCTTAAAGTAGGAGGTGGTCTGAGCGCATCGCCTATACGTAGTTAAGAGTATTGTGAGGAAGTCCTGTTGGCGGAGGAGCAGAGTGGCGCAGCGGAAGCGTGCTGGGCCCATAACCCAGAGGTCGATGGATCGAAACCATCCTCTGCTAGGCGTTTTTTTCCCTTGTCTCTTCCGGATAATTTTTTTTTCTAGTTACAATTTTTTTAGGTTAAACAATAATGAAAGAAAACAAAATGAAACCAAGTATTTTTTTAATTCCAGAATTACAAGGATTTCTGAGAAATAATGTGAAACTACAATCTCTGCATGTACCATTTTTATTTTCACGGACACCCAAGTGTTATTAATCAATATTTCATCTCTAAACAGCAAATTTCTCTTGTTGCCAAAGTGCCGTGCCACTGTTGCAGCCAGTTATGACAGTTGTAAGTTAACCTGCAAAGCAAAGAAAATGCTTACATAAACCGAGTGCCAAGGGTGGGGTGGGAGCCCAGGAATGGAGTTTTATATCCTTTGATACATAATTCGGAAAGCACTATTTGCCAAGTAGTTAAGGCGATCAACTAGGAATCCCTAAATCCCCACGCAGATTCTCTGCACCTACGAGGGTCTTAATCTCGGGAAATGAGTTGCATTTTGAGGTGGGTGTGGAGTCTTCATAGCACTGATTGAACTCTGACCTGAGAAAAACATTTCTGCTGACACTACTGTTAAATGTGTCTCTACTCTCTACCGTCCTTTAATATTTCAAATAGAACTATTCACTGTGCTTATTTTTTAAACATCTGTGTGGACTGTTTTATGCTTCTCTCTCTCAGAAAGGATTCCTATTCAGATATTTATGTGTCACATACTGGATTAGGAACTAAGGAAAAAAAAAAAACCTTAAGTACCTTAAGTAGTCTACAGTCTAGATATGCTTTTGTTGTTTTTGTTTTTTGTTTGTTTGTTTGTTTTTGAGATGGAGTCTCGCTCTTGTTGCCCAGGCTGGAGTGCAGTGGCACGATCTTGGCTCATTGCAACTTCCACCTCCTGGACTCAAGCAATTCTGCTGCCTCAGCCTCTCAAGTAGCTGGGATTACAGGTGCCTGCCATCACACCCAGCTAATTTTTGTATTTTTAGTAGAAACAGGGTTTTACCATGTTGGCCAGGCTAGTCTTGAACTCCTAACCTCAAAAACTCCACCCGCCTCGGCCTCCCAAACTACTGGGATTACAGGCTTGAGTCACCGCTCCTGGCCCATATGCTTTTAAACAAATAAATATGTAGAGTGCAATACAGTAGTTCTGTGAAAGGATTGTACACTAAGTGCACTGGGAATAAGGAAAATGGTGCTTGTAGTCCCATGACCACACACGAATTCAGTAATTCACTGGAAGTAATCACATGACTCAACACACTCTCAGTTAAGATTTATTATAGCTATTGACCATTTTTTGTTTGGGTTAAAGAACATGTTTTAAAAATAAAAACAAAAAAGATTAATTATAGCACAGGATACAATGCAAAAAAAGCAGAAAAAATATATATACACAGTTGAATGTAGCTGTTACTATAGGACTGAACAAAGGAGGATGAACGCAGAAATGAAGACAAAGACAAAAGGATTTGTTTAAAAGAAGGGGTCAGGGGGTTCCTTTCTTCTAGAGAACAAGGGCCCTGAGCTTCTACAGCCCTTCATATTTATTAGGTAGAGTTAACAGGGAGGAAGGGGTAACTGTCGGTCAGCTACTGGATGTATCACAGGCTCACATGATTGCTTTCTTTGTTCAACAGACTACAGATGTTCCTGTAGATAACCTTAAGGAACCACGGTGCCTGGGATGTGATTGCCCTCAGCATTCCTTCTGGTGGCAGATGCAGTTGTCAGCTTGCCAACATCCTGCTTTCATGAGAACAGTTTGCTGTTTGCTCATATAGCCTCCAGTGGCATATTGAGTTGGCCATGTCTCTCATTCCTTTGGCCTTCAACATCTCCCCCTTTTTGTTTTTGCATTAATTGAATAAAGGCAATTCCAGGCTGTGCAGCTTTCAATTGCCAGTTGGTGGTACAGCCGATTTTACAGACTATGAACAGAAAACAGAGACACAGTAACATTATTCCTATAATTATAAAAGAGACATTGAGGTGCTGTTTAAAGTAGGTCCAAGGGTTAAGGTTCTCTAAACCTTGCTGGAATTAGGTCCAAGTTTCTACAGAGGGCTGATACTCTTGAGTTTGCTTATTCAAATCAAGAATTTTACTCTGTAAATCATTAATATCGAAAGTAACATTGGATGTAAAAGCCCCTGCAAATGGGCCTTTACAAGTCTCCTTGGATATTCACTTTGATTATATTCCAAGTTAGTTACACAAATATGAGTATGGTTAAAATGACAATGCAATTGCTGCTGCAACTGCAAACTTTGTATTTGTTCTCCTAGCCACAGGACAGTAGTCTTTAACATTGCCACCTCTGTTTGTATTTTGGTGTTAATTTTATTTTGAAGCATCCATGCCTTGTTGGCCATATGCGTCCAATTTTCCACATATTGGGCTGTTTGAATAGAGCTGTGCAGTGCTACTGAAGACACTACAACAGAGGTTATTAGTGTAACTAGGGAGACTATAGCAAAAAATACCATAACTAAGGCTTTACGAGCACAATGAGTGAACTGAGTAAGAAGGAGTTGTACAAAATGTAAAGCAGGGGATAGCCACCCAAGACTCGAACAAATTGACAGGAATCCATAATCTGGGAATGCGACCTGGAATTATTAAGGTGGATATGTTGTGTGTTTGTATCATGCTATGATTTAGGCAGTGATACAGTTGACAGGAGTCACAAGTCAATTGGGTGACGTTTACCAGGAGTTGGTCCTTTATAGCCACCAGAAAGATATAGGGATTAAAAACACAAATTGTAAATTGAGTGGTAATATTTCTTACAAAGGTAACATTAAAACTGTGTTGAGTCCTATTACTATTATTGGATAGTGTCCTGACCCAGATGCTGCCATTCATAAATGGGAGTGCTGACTTCCATATTGACTCCTAAACTGGGCCCCTCTTTCTTTGATTATGCCACCGAGGCAAAGATGGACTGAAGCCTGTTCCATGCCAAGCAAGTTGTGCAGTAGATTGGGATCGAATCCCAACGTGATATAGCAAAGAAATATTAAATATTCACCACCAGTGGCAGTGAAGTTTGTGCCATGAGGTCTGATTCTCATCTCTCCCATCCAAATGACCACAGGGACCCCAGTCAATAATGTCTCCCATTAACATAGACTGTTGGCTGGGCGTGGTGGCTCAAGCCTGTAATCCCAGCACTTTGGGAGGCCGAGACGGGCGGATCACGAGGTCAGGAGATCGAGACCATCCTGGCTAACATGGTGAAACCCCGTCTCTACTAAAAATACAAAAAACTAGCCGGGCGAGGTGGCGGGCGCCTGCAGTCCCAGCTGCTCAGGAGGCTGAGGCAGCAGAATGGTGTGAACCCGGGAGGTGGAGCTTGCAGTGAGCTGAGATCCAGCCACTGCACTCCAGCCTGGGCGACAGAGCGACACAAAAAAAAAAAAAAAAACATAGACTATTGTCTAGCTAAGGGGCTGAGACATGGGATCCTAGGAGGGGGGTGAGAATTATTGAAGGGAGCCCATTCTATATAATCAATACACTTTGGGCGATGGGGCCAGGAGAGATTAGTCAATCCACTAGTAATATTAATAGAGCTAAGGCTTAAGAGGTACATAATTTTTCCATGGTGACTCAACCATGCCTGGGATTGGACTGCAAGGCAACTGCCATTGAGCGACGTATCCTTGGTGATACATAAAGGGAATCCCTCCAATGGGGCGGTGTAATTGATACTATTGTTCTGAGAATCTAATTGTTCTCTGTCGGGGGAGTTAAGGGTCCTGGAGTCCATGCTCACTGATCACGATATACCTCAGGAGGAGTGTTACTCTGGAGTACAAGTCACACTACTCAGGGGTTAGGAACAGATGCCCAATATGTTTTTGCTTCTACACAGGGGAAACACACCGCACAGGACACTGCAGCTAGTATGGCCAAGACCATCGAGTCAGGAGTTTTTGCCTGACCCTGACACTCCAGCATTTTCTCAGCTTCCTGCGTGGTTTTCTTGATCTGTCCCCATGTTATGGGGGTGGATGTCAATGTGACTCCAGTCAGCCCTCGTTCCATTTTCGCATTCAGATTCAACTAGCCTATGGCTTGTACTGGGGAACCGGGCCCATGGTTGCG